TTGTCAATTATTTTGGTCTTTGACTCTAAATCCAATCCTATGGAGTATTTTCAAAGGGAATAATTACAGCAGTCTGCATTCTGTCAATAGGTCTGAAATTAGAATAGTTGTTTCATTTTGAAAACATGTATACCTCTATTTTGTGTCTTCCCTTCTCCCCTTCACCCCCAACAGTGTGTATTCTTTGGGTACTTTGAGTCTGGGACCTTTTTTTCCTTCTACCTCATCATGGAGAGGACACAGAGTGCCCTTCATGAAAAGAGGGCATTGACCGTTGATCTGTGACAGAAGCTGCTGTGCCTCCATCAGAAAAGGACCCGCAGTCACTGAAAGGGAGGGAAATGCTGGCTCGTTATCAGGCTGCAGATCAGTAACTATCATTTCCGTGCACTTCTAGAACTGTTACTGCAGAATCCTGTAGAAACCTATGTGAAAGTGAACTCTGCCATTTGCTCAGCAGCAGCAGGAAACTAGCTTGATAATCTGATTCTTAGATTTCAGATTTCTTCATGAAGGAAACAGGTTGGCCCTAGCATCCAAGCTGTAGTTTCGTTATCTCAGATGAATTGAAATGAAATATTGTTGCTACCCTGGCAGTATCCAACACAACTTTCTTCTCTTTTTAGACAACTGTGTCACAATAACCTATTTTTATTTGCCTGTATTTAGCATTAGATTCACTTCAGCTTATGTCCATATTACAAAATAACAAGTAGTGGGATATTTCTTCCACTATTAACATTCTCCTGGAATAGAACATGTTCTTTCTTGTGTAAACTTAATCAATTGTTCTACATGTCTAGTTACTAATTAATGGACTGCTTTATTCAAAGGCACTTTTTCATTTTGCTCTGTATAGACAGTTGTCATGGTTTTAGGGGAGACTTCTTGAGATCACCACAGGAAGTGAAAGTACTGAAAACATATCTATCTATCTATCTATCTTCAGTTTTTGTAAAGAAGTTCTTGTTCTTATAACTAAAAATTTCCTTTTATTTTTGTGAATTCTACTACAAGTCCCTTTGAAGTTGTTTTCCCCACCCCCTCACCCTGTGTATGTCTTTCCTTCCCCAAGTAGGAAGGTTCTGTAGTTCTGTGCAACTTTTGTGAGGTTGCAAGTTTACATTTTAAAAAAAACCTCTTTGACCAGATTCAGCTTATTCCTTAAATTTTGGCAACATTCTAGGATCAACAACCTACGATAGATATCTCAAATAATTTCCTCTCTTCACAACTGTTGCACAACTTTCAAGTTACGGACTTAAAAAAAAAAATACAGCTTTATGGTAGGGAGAACATTTTCCTAGCTTCCTAAGGAAGCAATCCTACATGTTGTCTCTCTTGATTTTGGCCCACAGTAAGCTTTAAGCCTGTTGTCCAACTTTGAGCTAACTTGATAAAGGAGTTTAAAATATGCAAGTTCCTGTAATAGGGATGGGCAGCATAAGGCTATAAGAGAAACCGCTGCCTGTTTTTGTCTCTTGCTGAACTAGGCAATGTGAGGAGTTGAGTAACATCGGGGGCTGTAGTACTGGAAAATAAAAAGAACTGAGGATTTTGTAGCTAAATAAAGAACTTGTGGTGGGAAAGCTTAGTGTATTGATGTCATCTGTGAGATGCAACACTGTTGAAAGCTAGAATTTAATCAGTTTTGTTAATTCTGCTGCTCATGGAACTACTTGTTTTTGAGATTTTAAATAAAATCACAAAAATTGTTCGGTGTGCCACGTGGTGTATGTTCCTGCACAGCTAGTTCTGACCTGAGGCTATTTTGTTTTTCATTATTCTTGAAATTCTTTTATTTACTCTGTTATCTATTTCATCATTGATTGTGAGCAAAAAGAATACAGTGTTTTTCAATCTGCACAATCCGATGTGTTCCCTGCTTTATAGTACTACCCTTCTGTGCTAAGCAGGCAGTTATTTGTTGTCCAGAGATATGTTTGTTGTTGTTTTTTTTTAATATACTACTATTATTTTTTAAAGTTGCCTTTTTGTTAAGCCTTTCACTTCAGCAATGCAGGCTGTATGTGCATTTTGTCTGTCAGAACCTGAAATCATGTTCTGCAGCTGTTAGCAGTGTTAAGCACAGTCAAGCTTTGCCTGAACAGTGTTCCGTATCCATTTCCACCTGCAGTTGAAGGACTGTATTCTGTTTAAAATGCTGAAGATTGTATTTAACCATGCTTTTTATGCCTCTGGCAAATTATATAATGCCATTCATCACAAGCTATAGCTATTTGGCTTTTCAGTGATATGGGAAGAACTTCAAGGTGGTTTGTTTGTTTTAAACATGAATGTGGTTTGTAGTGATTTGTTTAGGTGTTTTTGTTTTTTGTTTTTTTTTTTTTTCCAGAAAGTGATTTATCTCTCCCAAAACCCCAAAAGGACAACTTGATATGTTTGAGACATTTTAAATATGTACTTTCTTGGCTTTCTAATATGATATGCACATAGTTTTTATACAGGTGTTTTTGAAATGGTGTGAAAATCAAGGATTTATTTGTGTGTTCAGCATACAGTTCTTATTCAAATGCTTGCATGGAGTAATATTTTGGTTGCATGACTAGTTCCAGAAGATGCATGTACTTTATATATTAAGTAAGGTATTGCTAAATGGAAATTGTTAGCTCAAAGTGTGCAGATAGGTCATATTTGTCCTGCATTTTGCAGCAGCAACAGTGAGTGTTTTTAATACTACTACTATCAACAAATAATAGCTTACCTTATTCCATTGGCAAACTAGTTCACTGCTTGTCTTTCTTTTGAAGTAGTTTTATACCCGTGATTTTACAGTTATCCGCTTGTATTCTAGAATTTTATTTTTAAGAGGAAGAATAAACCTTATCACTAAAATGGAAGCAGCAGAAGCTCTGCAGTTATTAAATATGAAAGATTTTGAGAAATTAAGAAAAAAATCTACAATAGCTTTAAAATGTTGGAGTTTTACCTTTCTGGCAAAATATCTTTCTTTTTTACTAGTTAACTTACCAAAAAATTTGTTTTCTCCACTCATTATCATTGAAAATTTATGAGACTGATAGCATTTGTGGTAATGAGCTCTTATGATTTGAGTATAAGGGTCGTAATATTTCATTATTTCTACCCCTAAAATTCACAGTTTCTGGAACCAGGTAGTTGCATGAGAGTCTCACCTTTCTCAATAATTTTTGTAAGTTTAATTGTTTTAATGTGTGCAAAATACAAAGGGTAAAAAATTTCATCCTTTTCATTAATTTGAAATCTCTGATTGAAAGCATATTAAAAAAAATATTTTGAGGGCCTGGAGTATATTTCAGTTTTTGTGGTTGTAATTATATTGCATTTAAGTAGCAAGGCTGTTTGTTAATTGTGTTCAGTTTGGTGCTGTGTAGGGGCAAATCCAGAGCAGGAACCATAGAATTTACTGTCTAGTTAGATGAGGCAGATATAATTGGAGAAAAGTCATAACAAAGTGAACACTTTAAGGATCTTAACTGCTAGTAATGCCATAACTGTAGATTTTTGTGATGGTGACCAAAAAAAAAAGGAGAGGAAGATGACCCAGGAAGGTGTGCTAAATGGTAAAAGGTACCAAGGTCAGTAAAAAAGCGGAGCAGGTGTGCAATTGGGCTGTGATAAAGAGACTAGAGAGATGATGACGATTGGTCACTAACCTCGGCTAGGCAGGAAAAAAGTGTTTCCAGAATATGTCTTCAGGTGTTTTTTCATATCTTCTTTCTCTACTAGGTCTGGCTGGTTTTCTCTTCCATTTTTTCTTGACAGTAGAGGCAGGGAATTTAAGATGCATCAGTGTTTGCATATTGTGTGTGGGTTTGGATGATGTTAGTCTCCTTTGACTGCCTGTGCTCAGAGGGATTGCTGGGTGGCGAGTGATGTTTTAACATTGCATATCTTCTTATTGTCACTGCCTTCTTCAAATCATTATTTGTATGAGTGACAAACTAGCTCCACCTTTGCCTTCTAACTGGCATTTCAGTTCTGTTGCTTTTTTTGATCTAACCATGTTCATTCTACTTCTGTTTACTCCCTGTGGCACTCTTCCTCTAACTGCAGTTCAGTGCTACCATGCTTGATATACCTTGGCCAGCTGACAGCTCACTTATCTAATGCACGTGGAGCCTAACAGTTTCATAGACAGGTACTACTTCTTGTCCTGGGCTTCTGGTCAGTAGGGTTTTTTCCCAACCTATATAATGAACTTTACCCTGCATGTAGATGAACAGAAGTAATGGCTTCACAGAGGGGTATGAACTCTTCCTATTTAAACTGCTAACGTACAAGTCTGACTAATGTTAACATGTTTAGTCATTTACTTGTTGGCTGTTCTAGCAGAAATGTTAGTCAAGCATTCTTAGATCACGGATGGAGTTTTAGTTTGTGGATAAACGAAATGCCACCAGTTCTACCAGCAAATCTGAGTACTTTGTCCTCAGACTTGCTGTCAATATATTTCTGAAAATACACAAGCAATCCTTAGTTGCCAAAATTACAGTTTTGGACAAATGTATGTTGTTCAGAAATATTTTACTTTAAAGTTAAGTATTATTTTTCCATTTGTATTGTGTATGTTCAGTTGTATAGCCCAATACTTCATTCTTTATCTACTTTAACTTTTACAGTAATTCATTGAAAGAACAAACTCTTTCAGACAGTCTCGTTAGCAGACTCAGTTGAAGGCAGGCATTTTAACCAAAAATTCTGCTACTGTTAATACTTGAGCAGTTTTATTGCACATAAATATTTGCTTTATCACACATGTTTTACAAAAACTTAGAACTGAATCAATCTGTGTTCCCTGAACTGTAGAATGTCAAATGACGAGAGCACTTTTATCAATCAGCATGGTTAGAATTTCAACACAGGAACTTCCTGCATTATGTGTTAAGTGATCTTGTTTGTCTTGATTAATTTTCTACTGCATATTTACATGGTTACTAGAAAAGAGAGGGAGGGGCAGAGAGAGAGATGCATGTAATTGTTTTTGTAATTTTTTTCAGGTATTTTTAGCAGCAATGATGTAGCAGTATCATTTCCAAATGCAGTATCTGGCTCAGGATCTAGCACTCCCGTTTCCAGTTCTCATTTACCTCAGCAGGCTTCAGGCCACTTGCAGCAAGTGGGAGCTCTATCACCTTCAACCACGCCTTCTATAACTACTGTTGTTGCTGCAACTCAGGTAAATTATCACAAGAGTTTAACATAGAAACCATGTTACTGACTTGCTTATTTTCAATGTTAAAAGAAACAATAATTTGTTTTGAAAAGAAGTTAATGAATGTTGTATTTGTTGTGAAAATGTTACAGTGGACAGAAGTTGACCGTAATATTACATAGTCCCACTTTTGTAGAACACAGATTTTTAAAAATGGTCTGTGGAAGTGTGTAGTAATACCGATTATATTATGACTAGTAGCATAAATGCTGGTTACAATTCATCAGTGCTCTAACCAACATCTGTTGTCAGAACAACGTTTTAAGAAAGGATTTAAAAGAGGAAAACACATAAAGTTTTGCATGTTTCATGCAAAAATGCTGGTGTCAGTTAAAGAACAGAGGGGTTTATTTGGGAGATTTGACAAACGGACAGCTAAGTCTAGCCCTGGCAAAGAGGTAGCCAAGGCTGACATCTTGATAGCAGAGAAAGTTGACATACATGCTACAGTTTTGTATGTGCAAAGTCATACAAATGACGATATGTAGTTCATGTTTGATGGTGAAGGGATGAGGGAGGCACTGGAGGAGTGCAGAAGGGTGACATAGTCAAAATAATGAACCAGAAAAAATATCTTTATGGTAGTATTTTGTATGAATTTAAGTTGGTCAAAATTGCATTTATCAAGGCAAGAGACTACGACTATGAAGTTACATTTGTAGAGAGCCACCATGACTAGAGTATAAGGGTGAAGGAATACTGTGCTGGACATGATGTTTTTATACTTTGTGTTTCTTGTGTTTTTCATTTGCTGATGGGAGTCTGTTTTACAATGATTTTATCAGATGTATCTTTTTTTGTGTGCATATACGCCATCAACTTTTAATTTATAGAGGCTACAGTTATTTAAGATAGCAGATATAAATCTGAAGAATTAAAATCAAGCTTAATACATACATACTTACATGCATGTGTGTGTACATGCACACACATGTATTACATGTGTAGCAGAAATACTATGTGCAGGCCAACATAGAATACATTTCAATATCAGATAACCCTTTGTTGTTATTGTTGGCAGTTCATATTACAATGTAATTATTCTGGACTGGTTTCCTGAATAAGTAAGGCTTGTGTTATGCCAGTGTGACTTGTCTTGTAACTTTGGGACGTGTTGGCCAGTTTCACACAAATTTGTGTGACAGCTCTGTTGCACAAATCTACAGAAATTATTTTAAAGAAATTAATTAAAAATATGATGCTTTGGTGAAGAGCCAATATAGCTTTTGTGAAGGGAAATAACAATCAATTGGAGTTAGGGTTTTTTGTTTGTGGGTTTTTTTGTTTTAATTCTCAAAGAGTATTTATTACACAACATAACTCACTGAAGACACTTAAATTGAGCAGGAGATAGGGCAGAGGTTGTGTCATAGTTTAGTAGCAGATTAAAAGATTTAAAAAAGCCCAAACAGGTAGATGCTCGGTTTTCACAGTGGAGAGGCGTAGGACTCTTGATCTGGAAGAGACACTGAGATGGGATAAGAAAAAGGTCTTGAAATCACTAATGACATGGAAAAGTTAAATATGCAAGAACTGTGCACCATTCACTTCTATTTGTTAAACTGTGACAGAGGATAAATGGATTCACAAAGCAATGGGACAGAGCTCATATTTAGCAGACAGGAACAGAAATACCATAGTATTCCCTGATGTTGTCACAAAAAGGTGACGTACACCCTAGGAGGTGCACTTTTCCTGGTGTTTAGCTGAACTAGAGAGCCCCCCATAGGTTAAGTGCTTAAAATTCCTGTCCTTCCTTTGGCTGTGTTTTTTGCGAGATGTATTGGGTTATTTTTGTTGTGTTCTCCTCCCCACCCCGAGGAGTCGTGTGTCTTACCTCAGTACCTAACTTGTTTTCAAATGGTCGTAGATTTACTTGTCAGGATCTTACTCATAGGTACTATCATTTAAAGAGTCTTTTGGTTCTGAGTGATAAAGGGAGGTTCAAATGGTGAGAAGTTTTGGTTGACAGCCTTAGAAGGCAACTCCTCTGTTTGCACAGAGAATTAATGAAGTCCTATGCTGCTTCAGTGATTCTGGGACTACACTTTGGTAACTAGTGTCTGCCAGCTGGAAATTGGTACAGGTGTAGTCTTTGTTTTTTCTTATATCAGTTGTGTCAATGCATAAATTTTGAACTTGATCCTTCCATCATCTGAACCATTTTACAGGCAGTCATATTTCAACCAAACATCATGCCTCAGATAAGCTGTGTAGCATGACATATCTCTAAGTTATGCTCTACAACCAAGGCACCTATAATTATTGTCCCAAACTTTTTTCCCTTCTGTATTCCCTGTCTTCACCATTTCCAGTTAGACTGGCACTTTTCCTTTTTTGTCAGGCATCCAGTAACATCCAGCTGGCAATGGAAATTTCCAGTTGAGACTAAATTGCTTTAACTGTCACCTTCCTGGTATTTTTACCCTGCTGATTTGTCAGTTTTGAGAGAAACTTCCTATAAAGAAGGTGTAGGGGCAAGAGGTGAACAGTCATTTGGCTTTAAGGTCCATGGACACAGTTCTTCCTCATTCATGAGCAAAATGAGTTTACAGAGTACTTTCTAGCATGGAGGAGAAAGAAGATGGATGTCTGTTGTGAGTTTTAAAATATTAAGTGCTTTAATGTCCTGGCTGAGGTTCAGGATTGGTGCTTCTTCTGTCATTGCACCAGGCAGATTGGATGCTTTTTCCCAGCTTTCAAGACTTTAAAATACCAAGCAGCTCTCCCCACTGGAGGTGTCTTCACATTAAATTCATATTAAATCATGACAGCCACCTGTAATGTGCTTTTGTTTTTCCTGGACTCTGGGAGTCTTTTCCAGTTCATGAGATCCTTACTAGTGTTTGAAGAGACTCAGTCAAGAGAGCGTATTTTACCATGCAGTTGTTATCCAGTTCAAGAGAACCATTTTTTTTTATGCAGTTACCATAAATGACTGATTATACTTCAAGGGTTAGGGTTTACCTACTTAGTTCTGCAAAGGTTCATCAGAGTGCTGTGACTGCTTACTGGGCTCTTGTGGATGTTGTCTTAGTGTTTACCTACCTCTTGACCATGAAAGTCTTCAAATAACAGTGCAGTAATGTATTTTTTGCGTAGTGTTCTAATTAAAAGAAAATCAAATAAGATCCTAGGTGTACATACAATGGTTATAAGTTAAGGTAAGCTTGTGCCACTATAGCAGATAAAAAGTAATAAGCAAAAAAGAAGGTTTTATTTAAACTATTAGTTAAGAGAGCAAGTATGCCCAAACCTTGGTTGCTCAGCTATTTGGTCAGAATATTCAACTGGATTGGTACTAAAAATTGGAATAGCCTCAAAGATGTTCTGCTAAGGTGCGCTCCTCGTTAGATTTCACCTCTTAAGTTTTCTTAGATCTCTCCTGGGCATTTGTAATTACGATTTCGGGGACATCATAAATTTGTCAATTTCTGATGGATTCTTTCATCGTTTTTTTTTTAAAGCAAAGGTGTTAAGAAATTATAAAGAGGAGGTCTTGGAAAAAAAAAAATTTCCACAGAATTTCAAAATTGGCTGAACTATTTTGCGTTGGAGGTTATAGTAGGCATCTAATACAGAAAATTTTGTTCATAATATTAAGAGAACTTGCAAGCAATTGAAAGCAACTATCCTAAAGCTAGAAAATTAGGTAATACTACTTTGCCTTTTGTTATTTTTGAATAACTGCTATGCCCATATAAAACTTCAGTGATTAAAACCCCCAAGTGTTGCTTTTTCCTTACACAACTAAACAACACAGATTCTAAACCTTAAACAAAAACCAACTTGAAAATCCTAGATTTTGATTCTTTCATTCTGTTGTCTAGTATGATAGTTCCCACACTGTGGTTTTTGTTTGTTTTTAAGATAAAAACACAGTATGGGCCTTGCTGCAATAATTTTTTTTTTGTCTCATTTTCTTCTCCTTCATGCCACTCATAATTTTTATTCCGATCTAATAAATCCAGAAGAGATTATTAGCTTGTGTTCCATGCTGTGCTGTAACTGAATTTAAATGCTGGCGTTCCTCACCAGGTGGGAATCAGTGGTCTAGTAAAAATGCCACCTGCTGGAAATGCAGATTTTTTTGCATCCAATTCCTCTTTTTTATGTCTTGGGTATACTCAGGTTATGCTGCTTAATTCTGTTACGCTAATAAAGCCTCACTATGCATTTAACAATTGCAAGAATATAGGAAAAAAAGAGATACAGGAAAGAAGGTACAGTTCACACAAATATTTGCTCCTGGTTTTCTGTGAATTGATCCTCTTGATGTGTTTGTGGTACTGCCTGTTTTGCATGTAACAGCAAATCGCTACATCCCAAACTGCTGTCTTTTCTCTCAGAAGTGTACCCTTAACTTTTGCATGAATATTAATGTGTGCTCTGTTGTTGAGAAAAATCACTTTCTTGCATTTGGATTTTGAATAGTGTCTTAATTTTTCTCTGTTAAGCCAAGTCACAAGTTGCTGCACTCCGAGGCCCTATGTTCAGTTTTTATCTCAAAGATTTCCTTGTGTTCCATAATTATAGCAGAAAGGTTTGTCAGCCTGTTGTGGTGTTCTGCAACAGTTTGCTGTATTGCTTTTTCTGATAAGTTATTCTTAGTGATTAGTATATGTTCATAAATAAAGTGGTGACCTGGGTGCCTCAGTATCTTTTGGTATTGTACAGCAGGATTTGTTTTCAGCTTGTCAGGAAATGGTGGCTTTCAGATTCTTTTCTTCTTCTTTTTTTTTTTTATCTTTTCTTAGTAGGTTTAGTATTTTATAATGAAATGTTTACTACTTTGGTTGAAACTGAGATTGAAATTGGTTAAGCTGTCTATTCTTTTTGATGACTTAAATGAGTGAAACTATCCTACTAGTGCTCTGTGGCTGTTTTTCTGCCATCTCTATGTTCAGAATACAGGATCAGACTGCAGAAATGGAAGTAAAGGTTTTTGACTGGGTTTTCTTCCA